TAAAGTACGATGGCAAGATGTGTGCAAGAGGGGTATGGTTAGAGGAAGTGGCTGCGTAGTGAGTGAATATGTCGCGGGGGTGGGGAAGGCGTTGAGTGGCCTAGTTTTGTCACCTCTGGATAGGAACACAAGTGAGACGTGGGTGGAATGCTCTCTGAAGTATGAAGAAGGATTAAAGACGGTGTTTTTACAAAATGACAACTACGAGATTGTGGGACAAAGTAAAGAAGACGTGGTGTTGAAAATGGAAAAGCGATATCTGGATGAGAAATTGGGGGATGTATCCTGTTGGCAAAAAGGAGGGGGATTGCAACATGCATATATTATTGCTAAAGACAAAGACAAAAATAAGAGACGCCCGATTGTTCCATCCTATGATAGCCCATTCCGGGGGGCCTCTGTTGTCTTGTCAACGACCTTGAATTTTTTGATTAAAAAGATTAAGGAACCACATTTTAATTTGGGAGCATTAAGCGGTTTGAAGGAGGAAATTGAAAAGGTGAACCTGCGGTGTGGGAAAGATAACCTTGGTGTCATGGCTCGTACTTACGACCTCAAGGAGATGTTTACCCCGCTGCCTCATGAGGAAATACACAAGGCCGTGGAATGGGTTGTAAATCATTATCTGCAAAAATCAAAGCGGTGGGTTAGAATCAAGGGTGAAAGGGAAAGGGGCTACCTTCGGAAAAGCGCACGGAGAAGCAGGCTGGCGATCCGTGCGGTAAAGACACTGGTTGCCCTTACCACCTTTCAACTTGGCAACAATTTTTTTCTGGTGTCAGACGAAGTGCTTCGTCAAAAAAGAGGCATACCGATGGGCGGGAGGGCTAGCCCCCCGCTTGCCTGTATTCTGTGCATGTTTTCCGAATACCAATTCACTAAGATCCTTGGGACTGAGACCAAGTACATTACCGGCAATGTGTTTATGATTTGTTGGTTTTCTCGACCTTCTGTCGGTATGACCCTAATGGCCTGATGAAGGCTGAACCCCGGCTGGATCAAATTTTTGAATGTTATCCTACAGCACTTCAATTGGAACGAACAGACAGTGGGATCAGGGAACTGGACTTTTTGGAATCAAAGATTATTATTCCGGAAAACAATGGTGCTAATGACTCATAAGTTTTAAAATGGGGGATCTATGTGGGGTAGTATTGCCTTGCAACTCAGAACGTTCAAGGATTATACTTCCTTCGGTCCTAAGATGGCGAAGTACGCGACCATCGGCAACACCATCCAACAGATCACAATGAACTCAAGCGACCAAGGGATGGTCGTCTGAAATATCCTCACCTTCAGTGAGGAACTGCAGAAGCGTAATTATCCAAGTGGCCCCCTGATTGCGGGGCTGCGCTGGAAAAAAAAAAGGGAAAAGAGCCTCCCACGGGATAAAATCATTGATTTGGTCTCAAGATGGTATGGACTGACCACACAGAACAGCTGTCTACCCCAACGGGTAACGGGACCAAGATAACAATGCAGTCATTTTTCTGACCAGGCACGCAATGGATCTGGGATGGGATACTAAAGCCCTTACAACTTGTGCCTATGATGGACGGTGAACTTTGGTTTTCGAAGTAAGAAGGTCAGCAAACCATCCCTGGCATTTTTTGACGCACCTGAAGTGCTTTTTGAGTAAGGTACCGGTGCCCACGGCCAGAGATAAGTCTGACACGATTGGGACCTCTGGTGAACGCCGGCAGTAAGACTAAGCTCAGCTCGCTCCGCATCGGGAGTGGATTTTTGGAAGT